CACACACCCACACCCACACCCACACCCACACCCACACCCACCCATACCCACCCACACCTACCCACACCCACACCCACACCCACACCCACACCCACACACCCACACCCACACCCACAAACCCATACCCACACCACACACCCACACCCACACCCTAAAATACCACAAATTGAAATGGTTCTTGAAGGCGCACGACGTTTAGATTCCTTACCCACCAAACAATGCAAACCTATTACCATCGATATTCTAAACAAATTACTTGGTGTATTACGATGCCGTATATTTAATCCATATCTCGATACATTAATGCAAGCAGCACTTACTACTGCATTTTGGGGTTTCTTCAGATCCGGTGAATTATTTCCTGATAAATTTTCTCCACGCTTACACGTTACGAAAGCTGGTGTTCAATATGATATAAACTGTATTATTATTCATTTAAATTCATCAAAAACCGATATAGAATGGCAAGGAGCTAATATTCGTTTGTTTAAAAACGGATCTATTAATTGTGCAGTTCATGTTTTAAATTGTTTTACTCTCCTTCGCAACAGCAATAATCATGATTCTCCTTTCTTTCTTTTATCCAACGGTCAAGCATTTACTCGTCGTGCTTTTATCTTCAATTTAAGACATTTATTGCTTCAATTAGGTTATGAAGCTTCTGCTTATAGTGGACATAGTCGATGAATAGGAATAGCTACATCTGCAACGGCGGCTGGTGTTCCTGATCATTTAAAACAAACCCTAGGTCGTTGGACTTCGTCGTCTTATTTATGTTACATCCGTGTCAGTGACACTGTTATTCTTAAAGCTCCTAATAAAATATTGCAATTTTCTTCTTAGTTATTTCTTTATTTAGTCTATTATTGCCTTTTGTACATATTTTTCTTGGTTTTGGGCGCGAAGCTCTCATCTTGCGATAGAGCTTCTTGTGGCGTTTAAAGTGCCCAAAAATGACTATAAAAGAATATCTTTAACTTTATTTTTATTGTATTTAATTGTTTTGTTTTTTGTCACTTTGTTCTTTGGCAGTAAATACATATATGCCCAACTCGCCACTATATAAATAACAGTCTTCTCATAGAGAGATCGACATGAATGTATTTTAGCGATAAAGACGATAAATGATAAGTCTTCTTTTCTTTCTGTTCTTTTATCAAGACATGTGTTAAGAGAATGTAATACTGCTTCATCATAATGGAGAAAGAGAAAAAATAAAGCAATTCTTGCTTCATCATCATACCACTACGTAAGATGACGTTCTTTTAAAGTTTGATATACATTAAAATGGGTTTATTTATACTTTTATACACTGTTCTTGGTGTATTTTCTTCGATTTTCTTCTTTATTTATTGGAAATTTATCCATCAACAAAAACGTATTTATAATATACTTCGTAGTCAAGGTGTACCATGTGAACCATTCGTACCAATCGTTGGTCAATTACCTAATATGCGTCGTGCATCTGAAAAAGGTACTGCAATGAATTATCGAATGGAACTTGTTCGAAAGCATGGATATTTTTATGGAATATGTATTGGTCCAACAATATATTTAGTTGTACTAGAGCCAGATATGATTGCTGATATATTTGGTCCATCACATGTTCAAGACTATTTGAAACTACTTAATATTGATAAAATTTATAAACCTTTAATTGGTGTACATAACCTATTGGTTAGTGAAGGAACAGAACATGAACGTGCACGAAAAATGCTTAATCCGGCTTTTCATTTCGTTAAATTACAGTCAATGATTTCTATTATGGTTGATAAAACTAGTAAAGGTATTAATGAACTTCTTTTATTATCAACTGAACAACAATTTATTGATTTACAAACAGAATTAAATGCTTTAACATTAACTATTGTTGCATCAAGTGCATTTGGTAAAGGTTTTGAAACAACAGCTAATGCAAAACAAATTGTATGTCGAGCAGTTACTGAACTATTGGAAGTAGTTGAATATCGAAGTGTACGTTTAATCGATCAAATACCTATTGTGTCAAAATTGCCATTTTGGCGTAAAGATATTTTAGATAAAGATTCTCGAGAAATTTCTGATTTTGTTGATCAAATTATTGCCGACCGTCGATATAATCGATCAACTAGTTTATCATCTAGTGAAGATTTTCTTGATCTTCTTCTTTCAGCTATCGATACTGAAGGACAGCCATTTAACGATAAAGAAATCAAAGATCAAGCATTAACATTTATACTTGCTGGTCATGAAACAACAGGTAATTTAATGACATGGGCTACGTATGTATTAATGACACATGAACATGTATTACAAGCTTGTCGAGATGAAGTCGATAGAGTACTTCCAAATGGTATTGAACCTACTCATGAACATTTGAGTGAATTAATTATATGCGAGGCTGTTCTAAAAGAAACACTTCGCCTGTATCCACCAGCACCTTTTATGGCGCGAAGATGTATTCGTGAACATTATATAGGTAGTGAAGGTCATCGTCAAATACGTATCCCTGTTGGAGGAGTCGTTTCAATTAATACTTATATTCTTCATCGAAGAGAAGAATTTTGGCCTCGACCACTTGAATTTGATTATACTCGTTGGATGCGTGATCCTGTAACAGGTCTTAAACCAAAATTAGCTCATCCATTTTGTTATTTACCATTCGGATCTGGACCACGTAATTGTATTGGAGAAAAATTTGCATTACTTGAAGCTAAAATTATATTAGCTATGCTTGTACAACGATGCAATTTTGAATTAGAACCTGGTCAAAAAATTCTTCCCGATGTTTTTATTACAATGCGATCTAAATATGGATTAAAAGCAAGAATTACTAAACGATTATAATATAATTTTTCTTATTTCTTATGTTTGTTTATATTTAATGGTTTGGTCTTGTTTCATCGACAATTTAAGAATAATTATTTAATTTTTCCTTTTTATCGACAGAATTTTTTTCCTATTTCATCGACAGTTTATTTGAACAATAATTTAGACAAAAAAAACAATATTATATGAGAGAAAATGATTGAATAACAGAAACGAGAACATAATTCAATAATTCATAATATTATGGCAACAAAATATCATTTTGATTTTTTTACCAATTGTTTTACTAATTTTATTGAAACATTCTTCTAATGACAATGAAACGTTTTCATAACGTTTCATTAAATCAAGAATTCGTTGATTTCAATAAATAAATGTTTTACTTCATGATAGCTTGTTCATTTTGTTTTCGACCAGGTTTGTTGACTCGATTTATATAATTAATTCTTTTATATTAAAACACGTACTTAAAACGCGCTCTACGAAACAGCCTATGACTGACCCTGCCTAACTCATATAATAAGAAAGTTATAAGCTTGGAAATATGCGTCGCAAAAAATATAAATTAACCGTGGACATTTTAGAACCATAAAAACTTTATTTTATCTAAAAAATGTTGTTGTAATTATACAATATTTCTTCACCATGAATGTTACAATCAAAATCATTTTCAATTAATGTTCATAAGCTTGGCTCCTTCAAAGCAAACGTATTTGCCATCTTGTTCTGCCACGTAAAAAATCTGTAGGTTATTGTATACTTTATTTGGACTGAAACGAGTCTATTTATAGGCTGGTGTGGCAAACGAATACATGAATACAAAAGAGATAGATATTTCGAAAACAAAGGGAGAAGGATTACGAATACCTGGAAAAGATAGTACTAACACAAAGAGATAGATTATTCACAAAGTAAATACATACAGATCGAAAGATACTTCGCATACCTAGACAAAAATAGACTAAGATCCAGGGAATGATCTCAAATACAATAATACTATGATATAACCGAAGATGGAACATCACAAAACCAAAATTGATTATATAGTGACTTTAAAATTATTATGGAATTGAGCTGAATGTTTACGGTTAATTTTTACTTTTCGTGACGCATATTTCTAAGCTTATAACTTTCTTATTATATGAGCTAGGCAGCATCAGTCATAGGCTGTTTTGTAGGGAGTCTTTTACTGCATCTTTCTATCATCGAGACGAATTTTTAAGTACATGTTTTAATAAAAAAAAATTAATTATACAAATCGAGTCAGCAAACCTGGGCCACCCTTTATATACCCAGAAACAAAGACATTAAAT